TTCGTGGGGTGATTTTGTACCCTTCCTAGAGAGATTCAACATCCTATTAGTGCGTACAGGAATGTATGGAGAGACTTTTGACATACATGCTCACGGCGGCGTCATCTCATACCTACGACATACATACATTTATGGTTATCCAACCATCACCAGCATCGACTACTGTACCATCCCAACAGAATCTGGGGGTACATAGAAATGCCATAAAGAAAAAAACAACCGATTCGTAATCATTATGAGCAAATTTTGAACGAAATTTATTTGTTAAAGCAAAAGAAAAATCAATTACATTTTCTCTTTCACAAGTTCAATGTTTCTTTTCGCCTGTGCGCGATTTGGATGCGTTGGAAGGAGAGCTTTTTCACTGATATCGACTGATTTCGCCGAAAATGGAAGTGCTTTCGAGTACTCGGCGATGTTCGTATACACCGTACCGATGTTGTTGTAAGATTGAGCCAACAAAACATGATTTGAGGGGAAATTGTTTTTGAAGATATCCACTGTTTTTTCGAGGAATGGAAGTGCTTTCGAGTACTCGCCCATGTTATTATACACCCCTCCAATGTTGTTATAAGAAACAGCCAGATCGGGATGATTTTGAGGGAGAGTTTTTTCTCTAATATCGAGTGATTTTTTATAAAATGAAAGTGCCTTCGAATACTCGCCCATGTTTTTATAAACCAAACCGATGTTATTGTAGGAAGTAGCTAAGGATAGATGATTCGGAGAGAGAGTTTTTTCGTAGATATCGATTACCTTTGTGTAAAATAAAAGGGCTTTCGAGTACTCACCCACGTTGGCATACACCGAACCAATGTTGTTGTACGAAGTAGCCAAGTTAGGATAGTTCGGAGGGAGAGTTTTTTCGTTGATATCGAGCGATTTTTCATAGAATGAAAGTGCTTTCGAGTATTCGCTCATATTATAATACAATGTACCGATGTTGTTGTAGGAAGTAGCTAAGTCTGGATGGTTCGGAGGGAGAGCTTTTCCTCTGATATCGAGTGACTTTTCATAAAACGAAAATGCTTTCGAATATTCGCCCATGTTTTTATATACCAAACCGATGTTGTCGTAGGAAGTAGTTAAGAAAGGATGATTTGGAGAGAGAGTTTTTTCGTAGATATCGATTACCTTTGTGTAACATGAAAGGGCTTTCGAGTATTCGCCCATGCTATTATAAACCTCTCCACTGTTGTTGTACGAAGTAATCAAGTCAGGATGGTTAGGAGGAAGAGTTTTTTCGTTGATATCGAGTGCTTTTTCACAGAAGAAAAGTGCTTTCGAGTACTCCTGCATGTTTTTATATACCAAACCGACGGCGTCGTAGGAAGTAGCTAAAGAGGGATGATTTCGAGGAAGAGTTTTTTCTCTGATATCGAGTGATTTTTCATAAAACGAAAGTGCTTTCGAATATTTGCCCATGTTATTATACACTCCTCCGATGTTGTTGTACGAAGCAGCCAAGTCAGGATGGTTCGGAGTGAGAGTTTTTTTGTTGATATCGAGTGATTTTTCGTAAAATGAAAGTGCTTTCGAATACTCGCCCATGTTATCATACACCAAACCGATGTTATTGTAGGATGCAGTCGATAAGGAATGATTTAGAGGGAGAACTTTTTCGAAAATGTCAAGTGCCTTTCGAAGAAATGATAGTGCTTTTGAGTACTCGCCCATGTTATTATACACCCCTCCGATATTGTTGTAGGAAGTAGCCAAGTCGGTATGGTTCAAAGAGAGAGTTTTTTCTCTGATATTGAGTGATTTTTTATAAAATGAAAGTGCCTTCGAATACTCGCCCATGTTTTTATAAACCAAACCGATGTTGTTGTAGGAAGTAGCTAAGGATGGATGATTTGGAGGAAGAGTTTTTTGGTAGATATCGGTTACCTTTGTGTAAAACAAAAGAGCTTTTGAGCGCTCGGCCATGTTGGCATACACCGAACCGATATTGTTGTACGAAGTAGCCAAATCAGGATGGTTCGAAGGGAGAGTTTTTTCGCTGATATCGAGCGATTTTTCATAGAATGAAAGTGCTTTCGAGTACTCGTTCATGCTATAATACAATGTACCGATGTTGTTGTAGGAGGTAGCCAAGTCGGGATGGTCCGAATGGAGAGATTTTTGCAAGATACCAAGTGATTTTTCGTAAAATGTAAGTGCTTTCGAGTATTCGCCTATTTTATCATATACCAAACCGATATTGTTATAGGAGGTAGCTAAGTCGGGATGGTTCGGAGGGAGATTTTTTTCTTTGATATTGAGTGCTTTTTCGTAAAACTCAGCGGCCTCATTGTATTTTCCTTGATCATCTTTGAGTAGTCCGAGATTATTATAACAAATAGCTTTATCGCTCTCAGTTGATATCTGTTCGAGTAGTATCTTGTATAATTGTTCCGCCTTGTTATTTTCACCCAGTTTCCATAACAAGTAAGCTACTCGTAGCCATCCTGTTCCAGTTATCTGCTCTCGCATTTGATTAATAAGAGCATTGAGCTGTTGATCGTCAGTACCAGTGATGAGTGTAAGTTTTACTTGCCACAATGGCATTCTGGTATCTTTGATTTCTTTGATTTGTTGAACGCAAAAAACAGTGTGTGTTGAAAAGAGAATTTTATTTTCTTCCTTAAAATCACTAATTTTGTTGATGCAAGCGAACGGAGCCGATGGAATCGATCGATCAATTATCATTTCGAAGAGAACACCGATTTTGTTCTTATTGTTGAACTTGAGCCCTTCCCTAATAAAATGAATGGCCACATTGCGTTCATCACTTGTTGATAAGAAATTATTAAACGACATGAGTCCACCTTGTTTAATTTTATTTTCAAAATCTTGCTTGATCATGGTTTTACCCCGGTAGACTGTAATCGTTGTTGCACCATCATTCATTTCATTCGCTTGTTCTGAATGTAGTTTCGCGATATTTTGATGAAGATCTCGAATAAAAATACCTATTCTGAGGAGGATCTCAACTTGTAGAGTACCCAAAGCTTTGTTGAGCATGTGGTATGTGAAACATTCCCGAGTATACCACCAGATGGGCTTGTTATTTTTGTTCAAATTACTTCGATATTCTCGGGCGAATTCATCAATAATTTTCAAATGTTCATCGTTGCCGGCATATTTCTTACGTGCGTATTCGGCTAGAGCATTGATTTCTTTTTTTTCGTTGAAATCAATTTCAAGAATAGTTTCTTTGAAGAGTTGTGTATACATAAACGTTGGTTCGATTTGATTCAACGATGATACAGCACTAATCACGATTGAATCTTCTTCGCATTGCCGCGCAGTTTGTCGAACTGAGTCGCAAATCGGGGTAATTTCTGTGAAAATACCTTTCACTTTGGACCAGTCTTTTGCCCATACTTCGTACTTTGATTGTTGCAGACAAAATACATAAATTGAATGGAGTTGAGTCATGTGATGAATTCGTGGCACAACAGTTTGACATAAACCACCAGAAATAATTAAGAATGCTTTTTCATTTTGAAGTTTCGAAATGTAATCGACACATTCTTCCGTATCTTGGAATGTTTCAATAGTATTGACTGTGTGTCGGAGATGTGTGATTGAATGACGGTAATCATCGCTGGATTCATCGATTTTGGCATCAAGCCAAATCAAAAGAAAACTTTGAACAATTTCATGTGCATCAATTTGATGACTTCGTTTTGCAATGTGATTTGAGTCCGATTGCTGGTTTAAAGTAGAGGGTGATAATGGTGGTGGCGATGATAACGTTACTGTTCTGTCAGGATGAGGGAGGCTGCTGGAAGAACTAGCTTTTATTGACTTTGATGTATTGCAGCCCATATTGATTGTACGTAACGTGAAGAATTATATATATATATGCGTCTTCAACTTAAAATCGCCAATGAATTCTATTCAACGACAAAGCTTCATTATTTAAATGAAAATTTTCTTTGACAACGATTTTTCTTTCTCAATTATTATTATATGTTTTTTGTTGACACTCAAGGACGTTATTTGACCTTAATAGCAAAGAATGCATGATGGTAAGGTATTGCTTTTACTGTATCCAACTTTCTCTTGCTTATATGTGTTGATGTGCAATCAGTGTCGAAGCGTGATTGCATTAACAAAACGAACGATTCAATAGTTTCTTTCTCTTCTGTAGTATTTCGTTTCACACGTACATAATCATATTGTTTCTTGATCATGCAATCAATTGTAATGAACTATACAGTGAAAGAATAAAATTTCACTTGCTAGCGTAAAACTTTTCAAAAAAAAAACAATACTCCATGTTTTTTTCAAAGACAACGATAGCAAGATACATTCGAACGACAATGTTTTGATGAAGAAATACAATAGTCAACAAGATGTTTCCATCTAAAAAACGCGGAACTAGTAAAATTTAATTGCGAGCAATGATATGCTAAATGAACATTATGTGAGTGTTATGTTCTCTTCGTTCACAACCACATCGCATTGTATGTTATGGCTAGTCGTCCTTGAATTAGTAATAAATTAGAACAATAAATAAATGAATACTTGTTCGAAGCAATAGAGAGAAACGTGAAGACATTCATTCGTCTCTTTACAGAGAAAGAGAAATTTTTTCTTTTTGTGGACACCTTTTTTGGAGTCGCTTGTTGCGGGAGTGTGTTTTGTTTACTATTGAGCGATTCCTCATCGTTCATTTCAAGAGTACTCGCGAAGCGAATATACATCGTCATCGAAGGAAGAAAAAAAAGAAAAAACGAAAAACAATCCCTTGCACGACTATTCATCATGGGTGTATAGGTATTGATCTGAGCGAAGATCTTTTGTATACTTTCATCCACACTCTCATCCACTTTCAATGCTCTTTTAAGATACTTCAAGACTAGCACGTCATACGACGAATTTTCCTAGCATCGAAATCTTACCATTAAACAAAAAAAATCATTTGCAACATTTTATTTCATTGAAAAATTACATTGATATATAAATATATTAAGATTAAAACATTCATTATTCTTACTAATTCTATATTACAAATGTTCATTCCATCGAAGATAAATTTTATCACATATACGTTTGATTGTATAATTATCAATTAACTTTTCAGTATCGATTATTATTTGTAAATTGTTCATCATTTCATTATTTGCTTCCGAAATCCAAAGACATATTGAACATAAATATGGAATAAAATTTGTATTTCTTTTGTTTAAAACATACCGTACTAACCATTTCCCATCGAAGATATTTCTACATTTTACTTGAAGATCACACATATGAAAACAGAGATCCATAAGAATATGAATTTGATCGAGTTCTGTTATTTGTTCAAGATTTACTTTAGTTATTTTGTTATGAGATGATACAGAACGAAACATATTAATTTGTTCTTTAGATAAAATTTTCGTTTTTTCTGGAAGTCCAGATGTTATTGTTAATGAATCAAGATTAGGTAATATGTTCAGGAGTTGAAGAAGAATAGAAATTGAAAAATAACACAAATCAATATGTAAACTAGTAAATTGTACCAAAGTAGCAATAGAACAGATATATTCTTGTACTGATCGATAATATTCGACGCTCTGTGGACCTTCAAGAGTAAGATGAAGTTGTGAAAACGAAGTATTGATACATTTTTGTTCAGTCAAAGTTGGATAAATAATAATTTCATTTGAGTTTGCCTCATTGTGCCATTCGTACCATTGTTTTCTAGGGAAAAAGAAAATGAAATTTTATAACTTCTACAAAGAATTCCTATCAACGTACTTCAATGGTTGAATGGAATATGTAATTGTAGCAGGTAGAAAAGTGTTTATACAAATTTTAAGCTCAAGAAACCATCTCCGTTGAATCCAAACCGGGGAAAGAAACCGATTAAGATTTAAGTGATATGGATTAAGCGTTAATTGATTATAAATACCTTCATTATATTTGAAATTCAATATCCGTAAATAAGGAATATGTTTTAAAATTAGTTGTTCCCAACGATTAGCATCAAGATAAGAACTATCCCAATGTGAAGCAAAACGCAAAACTCGAATATGAGGAAATGATTTTTTAATGAATGTTTCAAATTCGTCAAATTGTAAATAACACACATTTATTGACAAATATCTCAAATTGGAAATATTTCTTGGTATTTCTCTTTTTATTGAACTATTTGAATTTAAACACTTACAAGTTAAATGGCTAAGTCGTGGTGTACACGAAAGAATCGTAACTAATTCATGGATGACACATTCATGATCAATAACTAGATGTTCAATAGGACTGTATTCATCAGTTATATATGGTTGTAAAATAGGTGAAAATATTCTGAATGCTGAAATTTTGTTATATTTTAGTAAAGGCAAACGAAAAATCAAGCCATAAAGTTCCGAGAAATTTCTTAATCCATCATAAAGATCAATTTTCAATGAGAAAAGACGAGGTAAAGTACTTAAATCCGGAAGAAATAATATTAGAATGTTATATTGAATTCTATAGAGAACAAGCGATTCAAGACGATTAAATGATGCATCGATCATATGTAATGAAAAAGAAGATGACATATATGATTCATCATGGATATGAAATGAAATGATTCGATGTCGATGTGGTATAATAAATTTTTGATAATGATATTCGGTGATTTGATTAGATGAAATGGAACGATAAATTTTAATTGGTAATGATGAATAAAGAATAAGACGTTTAAAACGTATATTAAGTTTTGAAAATATATCGAAAATATCACAACCATCAAGATAATCGAATATTTCATAAAAAATTTCATTCGACAAATGTTCGATACAAGTAACTTCTATACTATAATAATATATGTACAAAAATTAACATAATACTAAAATATTTTATTAACTTACTCATTCTTATGAAATGTTAAATCTAAAATAGTGGAAAAAAAAACTTCTTTAATTTAATTGATTGTAGTAAATAATTGAAACTTACTTCGCAATTTTTTTGCTTTTTCATCAAATGGCACGTGTTCATTCAATTGTCGTTTGACTTGATTCATGAAAATGTTAAAAGATATGATCTAGAAAATTTTCTCAAATAAAAATTTTGTTAATAGTAAATATAATTGTTTATTAACTATAGTTAAAACAAAGTTTTTATGTAAATAGAGTAAAATCTATTAAACAAGTACGAAAGCAACAAGATATTGATGATCTTACAATTATTTTTTTTTTTGAATCAATTGTCCGATTCAGATAAACTTAATTCATCTGAATCATAAGTTTTCGATTTCGAACTGGATTATAATGAATTCTAATCTAGAGAAGATTCTTTTCACGTAACTATTCGTATTGTCACTTACAAAGAATTCATTAAAAAATATCTCTTTCAAAAGATGACTTATTGAAAAAATCACAATTTACATTAAATTTCATATAAAAAGATATTATATTTGACATTTCTTCATGTTCGTACATATGACGTAAGTTAAGAACTCTCATGATTTTTTTTCGTAATATAAAGGTTTTTACTATGTAACTGTTCACTATGACATATTTGTATTGTATTAATAAACTATTATTAATTTAATTTGATATCTGATATAAATAATTTCAACGATTTTAATAATTAGTTTAATATAACTTCACATTACTATAATACAGTGACATACATAGACTTTAGAAAAATTAAAGATCAGTGAATATGTTAGTTGTATCTTTTTTTTGATATATATTACGATCATTTCTCAGTCAATTTTTAGTATTATATTTTTTTTCAAACAAGTACAATGCAGGAATGCAACTTGATGCCGTTTTGTTACTTAAATTTTTCGAAATACATCATTATAGTGTAGAGATGACTGAGGACATATATCCAACTGTCGGACGTCGTTGAAGCTTATATTTTGGCTATAAGTAGAACTCAATGAGATTAAGAAAACTTTAAAAGGGTTGGAGCCCATGACGTGCCTAAACAGAGATTTGGTTGGCACTTAGATGTAAGAAAATGGAATTCTTTTTAGTTTTTCTTCAATTGTTTTTTCTTTATTCCAAGAAGTTGACATCTGCAATTGTTAATATGGAATTTTCATTTCATAAACAAAGCAGAGTCATATTCATTCAAGAAAGTTCGATTAATTACGAGATAACATTCATTTAAGCCTTACTACTATACCGTACTGCAGAAAGGGAAAGCTAAGTAAAGAAAATATTTTTCTTTTTGCTTCAGAAACATATGAACGTCAACTGTAGTGTATACCGTACGAATTGATTTAACCATTTTCTCATATACTGTTTCAAAAATCAATATAGCCAACTTAATTGCATGTCTTCTAAGCACACGAAATTCTCGGAAAACTAGTTTTTGATCCGTTCAACATTCTAAAGTAACAAAGCTTATCAAACATCTTTACATAAAAATGCAAAATTTTATGTCATGCCCATCAAAGATAATGAAGATTTATATTACATTTGATTATCGAGATATACTCGATGATACATAGAAGCATAGTGAGATAGACGAAGAAATCGGCGTATTAGTTTATGTTTAGGTTAAAATTTTTAAGTCTCCACTTCTCGGAATAAAGAAAAAAACCGAGAACAAACTAAAATACTCTCATTTTCTTACGCATATGTAGCAACCAGATCTCTGTCTACGTACATCATGTGCTCGCACGACGTTTGACAGTTGGATATGTTCCCTCGTAAGTTATTATTGAAGCTCAAAAGATTGACTTCGTTTTAAAATAAATTTTAATTTAAATAGATGTAAAATTTCAATTTTTTAAAAAAGTCTAATACAATTCATATGCACAGGTATTTAGAATATGAAAGACAAAAATATAAAAATGAATAATGAATATTTATTTAATTATTATGCCGTTCGTTCTCGTTTTCGTTTCCAATTAAGATATGGTTGAATAGCAGGAGCATCAAGTATCATATCAACTGTTTGATAATCTTTTGCTAATTCATTATGAGGCCATATTCGATGAATTTCATTATGACATGGTCGACATACTTCAATTAAATATTTTGATACATCAACAGATTCTTTACCAGAATTTCTCATTCGTTTAAGAATTAATTTTGGAATAAGATGATGAACTTATGATTAACAAAAAAACAAAAGAAAAGAATAAAAAGAAAGATTTTTTTTTCTTTTGTTTTTTCTTACTTGTAATTCGTTGATGACATCCACATAATTTACATTCACCATCACGTTCAATTCGTTCTGAAAGATCAATATCATCTTCATCATTATCCTTATTATTAATTTCTTTATTTATTTTTTGTTGATCTTCTTCAATCATATCGAGTAGAGAATAAATAATATGTTGACGTCGAGTTTCGGAAATATTCGGATAACTTGTTTTAAATATTGTATCAATAATATCTCGTAAATCATCACAATGGCTATTAGAATCAGTACAGATTTCAGCCAAATATGTACAAAATTGTTCATCATTATTTACTTCTGAACCAACACGTTGGTAAATCCTATTGTATAATGATGATTCCATCTGTTACAATAATAAAATAATGCAATGTTTTATATAAAAAAAACAATCTCAATAGAGCTTTCAACGCAAAAAAAAGAAAGCCAATAAGATATATATTGTGACATGTGGTTGTGCAAGAACATGTCTGTCGTAATAACAAACGTCACCAAATAGAAAGAAAACAACTTTTTCGTTTTCATGAAATACATAATATGTCACTATTTTATTTTTCATCAGCTATTTCTTTATTAATAATGCACAATAATAAGACAAAAAAACAACACACAAGACACAAATACAAGAAATAAAGTCTTTTTATTTAAGCACAAAGAATAGCAGTTTTATTACGTTTAGTAACCACAGTTCCTAAAATAAATATAAAATATAATTTCAATGAAAAAAAATTATATAAATAAAATAACAAACCAGGTTTATGTTGTGCATCAGGATGATTAAGTAATTCAGGTGGACATTGTGATACAGGTGATTCAAGTATAACTTCTTTTAAGTCATAAAATACAGCTGAATCTTCTTTTGTTACAAATGTTATTGCTTTGCCTGCTTTGCCAGCACGACCTGTACGACCAATACGATGTGTATAATCTAAAATAATTTAAATCATATTTATATTGGTTTTTTTATGAAATCTTTTTTATTTTTGTCTTTTACCTTGAACTGTTTTAGCCATATCATAATTTAATACAAGTGAAACATCTTTTATATCAATACCACGACCAGCAACATCTGTTGCAACAAGAATATCTTTTTGACCTTGTTTTAATTGAGCTAAAGCTAAATCTCGACTTTCTTGACCTTTTCCACCCTAATAGAAATACACAAAAAAGAAAAAATTAAATTTTTGTTTTTTTTTTCTTGTAATACAAAAATCTATTAAAATAACTACATACATGTAATGTACATGGATTATATCCTTTTTTAGATAAACCTTTAGCCAAAACATCGACAGCTTTCTTTTGATTAACAAATATAATAATAGGTGGTTCAATACCACGTTCAAGAATTTCAAGTAATTTATTACGTTTCTCATTTTCTGAACACATAATAATAATTTGTTCAACACGTTCAGTTGGTTTACCAATTGAACCAATATAAACGGATGCTGGACGACGAAGATATGTACGTGCTAAACGTTCAATAATTGGTGTCATTGTTGCTGTAAACATCACTGTTTGACGATATTTATCTTTTGAAGCAAAATCTCTTAACACAAAAGAAAGAAAAAATAAAATTTTCTTTTTTACAAATGAAAACATTTTTATTTTTACCTTGTATCTTCTGCAAGTTCATTATCTGGTTTTTGATTTGTAACTGGTAAATATTCAAGAATACGTTTAACATCAGCTTCAAAACCCATATCTATAATAAGAAAAAAATCAAATAAGAATCAATAGATAAATATCGTAAAATTTTTCTTACCAATCATTCGATCAGCTTCATCCATAACAACATAAGTACATTGTTGTAATGTTAAATAACGATTTTCAAGTACATCAATAAGACGACCTGGTGTACCAATAACAATTTGACAGCCAAGACGAAGTTTAAAACCTTGTTCTTCACGGGACAAGCCACCAATAACTGAGACGACAGTTATATTTAATGGCTAAAAAAAAACTATTCAATGTGTACATTTGAATAAATATAAAATTCGTACTTTTCCAAATTTAACTGCTTCTTCTTCAATTTGTTGTGCTAATTCACGAGTTGGTGCTAAAATAAGTGCATATGGTCCATTATCAGCGTCAAAAGATCTTCAGAGAAAAAAAAAATTTTTTTATTCATTTCATTAATAAGAAAATCATCTTACTTATCAACTGCTGGTAATGATCGAATCCAAGCAAGTAAAGGAATAAGAAATGCTAAATAAACATAATAAATATATCGATTCAAAACAAATTAGTCAGAATTGATTTACCTGCTGTTTTACCAGAGCCAGTTTCTGCAATACCAATCACATCTCGATTTTGTAGACCAATTGGAATAGCTTGTCGTTGAATTGGTGTTGGTTCCTATACAAAAAAAAAACAATTAAAAACTTGTCAACGCAGCTCCTTTGAGGCTAAAATGTGGAACTCATATGTATTCTTCAGCTTTATTATATGAATACAAAATAGAATAGGTGAAAAATCTCTAGTAGATTATTGTTATTTTCCAAGAATAATCGATCGATGTCGAATATAAATCTTTATCTGCGCAAAAAACAAAAAACTACTGTTTAGAAGATTCACAAATGTATTCCAACTATTGAAAACTCGAGAAAGGCTTTGAAATATTCTATAACAATCGAAAATCTGTTGTTAATGTCATTCAGCGCTTTTTTTCGTTGCTAAGGAAATTTACCAAATGATCGTTGTTTCCTCTCTCCTCCCGTTACTATGAAAAACATGTTCATTGGTCTTTGACTCTGGTCGCTAGAGTCCAGAGAGAGAGAGAGAGAGGGAAGCCACGAAAAACTTGATTAAAACTTACACTCACTATTTTCTTCGAAAATATATGTGAGTTCCACAAAACAAAGTTTTTTCTTTTATCACTTTAGAAAATTAAAATTACCTTATAACCAGCAGTTTTAATAACATCAATAATGCCTTTTTCAAGTCCAGCTTCATCCCATGATCGTAATGGATGTGGAATATTTCCACCTCTGGTTGTTATATTATAATCTTCTTTAAAAATACGCCAATCTCGATCAATCATTTCTTCTAAAGTCTTATCAGTCCAATGACGTTCACCATAACGACGTTTTTCATCTTTTTCTCGATCAGATTTAAGACGAGCTCTAAAAAGTAATGAATGACTAACATTATTAGTATTTCTTTTTCTATAACTTACGATACTCGATCTTTTTCTCCTTGTGTACGTCGTTTTTCAAGTAAATCACCATAAAATTTTGATTGATCTTTTTTTTGTTTATTAATATCAATACCAGCTATATGACCACGACCAAAAAATTGTATTTGATGTTTTTCTTTATAGATTGGATTATAATCAACAGCTGTATCTTCACCAGCATCCCAATCAAAAACAAATTTTCGATCATTTAAACGACGAACTTTACGTTTTTTCTAGAGAAAATAAAAAAAATTAGGAACTTTAATTTGAAAGAAAACAAAATAATTTACTTTAACAATGCCAAGATATCGTTCTTTGACAGCTGCTTCTTCACGTTCTCCATCAGCATCTAAAAAAAGTCGAAAGAACAAAAATTAAAATAAATGAGAAGAATAAAATAAATCTAAAAGAATTACTTGCAGTACTTGGTCGATCTGTTGGATCCTCTTTTTCACGTCGATGACGATCACGTTCTCGACGTTCACGTTCTCGATCATCTTTTGCAACTATTTGTTCAGCTTCTTTATTGAATACAGCATATTTTTTACGCGCTTCTTCATTACGTTGACGAATAGCATCAGCTTCTTCTTGTCGTCGTCGTAAGGCTGCAGCTTCACGTTCTTCTCTACTTACAAATTTTGGCTAAGAAAAAAAAAACAATTAATGTAAGAACTACCCGAGTTGTAACTCGCTGTTTGAGCTTATATTGAGTCCATAAGGAAATCTTGGTAAGACCAAAAAAAACTTAAAAAGATTCATACTCATAGACTTCTACAGTCGAGTTATAAACGTTTTAATGAATTTCCGAATTGCATATTGCATCTATAGATAAGTCTAATGATTCTTGGAATATGATGAAAGTTTTAGCTGAAAAGAATGTTCCTTTGTCGAAATGTTGAATTTCGAAGTAAATTCGATTTTTATGACAAGCGACTATTTATTGAAAATTCAATATTTCAGTAAATGAACATTCTTTACAGATGATATTTTCAGGATATTCTCAGAGTCTTTAGATCCATCTGTGGGCTGAATTTCAGATCGAAATTTCATTATTTGATTTTTCAATACATACTTGAATATTAAATAAAACGGTCATAACTCAACTCCTGAGGCTCATGGTCATGAACTCTTTTAGAATTTTTCTAGTATTAGACAGACCTCGTCGTGGATCATGGTTGTGGTAATGCTCGTGTACGATTAAAAATAATTCTATTTTATTAAATTATCTATACAGGAATAATAACACGAGCAAAAGATAATCGAATGAATCCAGTGATTATTACTTATTTCATTACTAATTAATCAGTCTTATTTTCTTTCTCATATATGTTTTATGATATTTCACTATAGTTATTTCGTAATTAATTGTGAAAGTACTGAAATATTAGATAAGGTATTAAATAAGCTTAGGAAAAAAAATTTAATAGTAAAATTAATTACTTTTGAAATTGCTTCTTGTTCTTTTTTATTTTTTTCAAGCATTTCTTCTAATGAAAGTGGTACACGTTTTGTTGTTGTTGTTCCATTAGTTTCATTATTATTTGCCGCTGTTGTTGTTTCATTAACTGTTGATTCTCCTTCTTCAATATCATCATCATTTTGTTTTTTTATTTTATTAATTTCATCATTTTTTCGACGTTTTGAACTAAAACAAAAAAGAAAAAATTAAAAATTAGAATTAATCAAATCACATACTCAGGTGACTTTGACCGTTTTGGTGATGAATGTCGATGTTTTTTTTCATTTCCATCACGATGTGATCGATGATGACGATGTTCTCTATAAAATTAAATTCAATAATCATTTCAAAAAAAAACAAATTCAAGTAATATACCTTTCTTTACTTGTACTTCTATGTCGTTTTTTTAAATCACGAGATGGTGATGCACTTTCAACCATTATTTATCTGAAATAACAAGAAAAAGAACAGTATACATATATATATATATATATATTCATTATTCAAATATTCGTTTAATATTATGACATATCAAAAATATTAAGTAATTTCGCTCGTGTCATTTCAAGTCCTTCATTAACTCCTAATTCATATGTCATATTATGTATATCACGTATTTTGTTAACAAGTTGAACAACTGAAAATGTTTTTAATTCTCTAAACATATAATCAGCTTCATCATCATTTAATTCATGATCATGACCATATAAAGCTGTATCTAATATTTTATTTGAAAGATCTTTTCCAGGATTTTGTTCAATAAGATCATATGGTGAAAATGCTTGATCAATCCATGAATGATTATCATTTCGATTTGTCCAATTTGTAAAATAAGAATCCATCTAGAAATAAATGAATCTCTTTTCGTTTGTTTTTAACTAATAGAAAAATAACAAAAACAAAAACAAAACAAATAAGCAGGAAACTAAATGTTTTTTGTTTAATCAGTACCTAAAAAGACAAAAAAAAAAAAAGAAATAAAAATCTAAAGTTTGTTTTTATTTTTTTTTCTCTCTTTCTTACCAAAATATTTTTGACCAAAATGATTCGGTGCAACAATATTAATTTCTGAAATAACAATTGTTAGATCAGGATAAAGTTCACAAATATGTTTAAGTCCATCAGGTGTAGAAAATAATGTTATTAAAATCATATTTGATTGTTTACATTGATATTCTTTAATTAATACTTCAAGACCAGTAAGAACTGTTGAACCAGTTGTTATTACCGGATAGGCAACAAGAAGACGACGTCGATTAACATCAGATGGTAATTTAGCATATATAACATGACCTTCATTGATTAATATTTTACCAATTCTTATAGATCTATGAAAAATAAAACATCACATTATTCACATATTTTGTAATAACTTTGTAATTGATCAAAATAACAAATATTACGAAGTATAACACAAAAGTAAGAAATTTAAACATTATTGAATAGAAATTGAAAATAAAAATTATACAAATTACAATGAGACCTGTCGCAAGAAAACTATAAAGGATAAGTATTTCGCAACATATGTTAACCAATCGGAAACATTGATAAGCGTGCAATGCGAGTGGACGTTTTAGTCTCGATTAGAATTTCATTTAGCTAATGTTGTTAGTGTAGCTTCGACGGGTACTACTGCAGTTTAGCCACACTCTCGCCCTCACCCTCACGTTGATTGCTGCGTGTAATGTACCAATCAGCGTAAGGGTGTGGCTAAACTGCAGAAGAACCCTTCGACGAATAAGAAATGTCAAGAGAGAAAAACAAGAGATTTTAATGAAAATTCAAAAGATACAACTCTTAATAGCTTGACGTTGGGTTGGACAGGAAAATTTATTTTATTATCAAAGTATATAGAGTTTGTGATAGAGTCCGTCAGATTCAAAATTGTTGAATCCGGGCTCTAGGCGTGTGGGTGAATACAAAAAAAAAACACTTCGAATTAAACCAGAGATATTTTTCAAGTTAATTACGGATCTTGATCTTTTCTTTTCTTTTTTTTTCAAGAAAGGATTATGTAAAAATTTCTTTATTCGTGTTTTCGTCTATTCATAAATCTTCGATAACTTAACAACAAGACAATTAAAGTTTGATTGAATTCATATTCATTTTTCTTACCTGCAACATTCACGAATGCCTTTTTCCATAGCTTCTCCACTTCTCATCAATGATATACATAAAGTTCCTTTTTCATGTCTTAAACCTTGAAAACAATTTCCAGTTGGTGTTATAACATCATATGGTACATATGGTAATTGATCTAATGCAGCTTCAACAGTTAAACGTATAAGACGATCAGCATAGAATTTAAAATCATTTCGACATGTTGTACGATCACGTAAAAGTGTATGAAGTTCTCGTAATTGATTATTTGTTTTCATAATATGTACATTTTCAGGAAATTGATTATCAGATATTTCATCATTCATACCATTTTCTTCTGTTGAGAGATTATCAGCTAAATGATTAATATTATTCTCTACTGTAGTCATCTAAAAAGAATTCAAAAAAAAAAAAAAAACAATTTTCCAATTTGCTCGTATAAATAAATTTATTGTTTTCATTTTTTCGGTTGTCCATTAATTGTTACAACAATATTTCGACTTCTAGCACGATTTCTATGTTCACATAAATATATTCCTTGCCAAGTACCAAAAGCTAAATGTCCTGATGTAATAGGAATATTAATTGATGCACCAAGTAATGAACATTTTGCATGTGCTGGCATATCATCTTTACCTTCATCTAAATGTTCATATGAATTATCTTCTGGTACAAGTTTATTAAATATTGTTTCCATATCAACACGTACATCAGGTGCAGCATTTTCATTTATAGATAATGATGCACTTGTATGTTGAATAAATATATTCATTAAACCAATTTCAATTTGTTTTATTTCAGGTACTTGTTGTAAAATTTCATTTGTTACTAAATGAAAACCACGTTTTTTTGGTGATAATGTTAGAACTTTTTGATACCATGCCATCTACAAATTAAAGATAAACTTACAGAATTTTGCCTAGAAAAGGAAAAAACCTTCTTCATATACACATCCAAATAATCATAATAGTCAATAATAGTTTGTTTGAAAAGAAACAGCAAAAACAAAAAGAAAAAAGCAAATTTTATAACAGGCACACAGAGTAGAATTTAAGAAGCAAAAAAAAAAAAACAAAATTTCAATTGCTATGCATTATTGCACAAGAGTCGTGAGACAAGAAAAAAAAACAAAATTTTATCACTGTTGGAATGTCATTCATAAATCATTAAAACAGTTTACACAGTTCGTCGATCAGTAAGAACACGTACAATCGAACCGAGACCAGTAACTGCTAGAACCTTAAATTAAAGATTTATTAATAAAACAAAATTTTTTTGGAAAATATGTAAAAATTACTTTTTCATGCCATGTTAATAAAGCACTACTTGAATAATCTTTTGGATTTTCAAAACCTTTATAGACATATTTCATTAATGTGTCACGTAATGGTACAGGTATTGAATTGATAGCATCTGAAATTTCACTTGGTTTTATTTTCATCATTGTTGATAATGCCATATGAGCTGCTTTTTTCTACAAAGATATATATATTTTTGTAATTAAAACTCTTGGTTTTATCGATTGATTCACAAAAATAAAATCTATTTAATATGAGCACAATTGGAAGTGAATATTAAAAAAAAGTACTACTTATTCATTTTTTTTTTGTTGTACTAGATTTACTATGCGTCAGAATCGGAGTGATTGTGAAGAAATTTTTTTCGGAGGTTATATTAATAAAACTGTCAAATGTTTTTATTCTTACACAATAACAAATTTATTGTTCATATGTTAAGTAATGAACGAATGTGTAATTATATAACACCGGCATGGAATTGTCTGAGGCCCATGTGAAACTCACATGATTTTGTCAGGATCAAAAAAAAAGATTACAAACTAAGGAATAATTGTTTTATATCAAAAGATAATCGCATACAGAGGTTTTTACGGTAGAGTCCGAAAATTTTGGAACCGACAGAGGATCTATTTTACAGTAATAGATATCTTATTGATATCAGTTTCAAAAATCTAACTGAACGAAAAAAAAACAAACAAACTTTATTCCACACGTACTTTTTTTTCTAGATCTTTAGCCCGAACTGGTGCATTTTGTAGAACATATTCTAACGCACGAACATATTTCATACTAAAATGAAACAATTAAAAAAACAAAAAAAACTAAAATAATCAAATAAAAATAAAACGAACATACTCATCAATTAATTTCCTCCATTCATTTTCATCAGGTTCAACAATATTTATTGATAAATCATCATCTTTATCATCAATTTGATTTGTCATTTTTAATCTGAAATAAACTATTCATTTCAAGATCAAAAAAGAAAAAGAAAAAGAATTACAACGAAATTCATATCAGATGGTTCTATACGCTTATTTTTGCAAAACTAAAATTTCTACAGCACAAAAAAAAACCAAATATGTAAGAGATAGAAAAAGGAAAATATGTGTGTATTAAGGAATATGGAGGAAAGGATATGTCTTTTTTTTTTCATCTTAATGAAATTCTATTTTAACCTAAAACTTTTTTCCAATATCGTTCTTCATCGTGTTCACGTTCAATTTCAGCAAGATATGGCTGTAAATACGGTACATCTTGTTCATATTGAACCCATTCATCTTGTGGTAAAAACATTCGTTTAATATCAAAATTAATTGCTCGTGATATACGAAATGAACGTTCATCCCATACTTCTGGTTCACTTATACGTAAACGACGCATAGCTTCTTTAATAGCAGCATTATCACCATATAATCGATCATGTTCCATAAGACCTAATTTATAATGAGTTGATTGATAATATTGAAATTTTCGATATTGTTCTTTAAGAGTAGCTGGTTCACGACGAAATTGTTCGCCAAATATACGACGACCAAATTCCAATGTTGCTGAAAAAAAAAGATTAAATTAAAATATGACTTCAGATGAAATGTAATAGATAACCTCTGCTAACAAATTTTTGTGTTGTCATTGTTTCTTTGATGTATATTATTTATCAAGAAAATAAATCTAGAAGAAAAAACGTTCCCATGAAAATGGAGTTTCTTCTATAACAAATAAAAATAACTACACATACTATTAACTAATTCTTTAATACTTAGAAACTGTTAGACTTTAATTATTCAAAACGATAAATTGGTGATAGGAAAAAAAGTTTTTATTATAATCAATTCCATTTTCGTATGAAGAAAATTTTGATCAATAAACAATACAAAAAAGGCTAGAAATGAGTCATCAATAAAAGAAAAAAAAATACTAGATTATTATGAGCGACATCTATCGGAACTTTATGAGATCATCTTTTGATGGTTTTTTTCTTTAAAAAAAAAACTTCTTAAAAGTCTGAGAAATATTTTTTTTAAATTAAAAATATAATTTCTTCATACATTATTTTTATATATGATCTTATTGGTTAAGAAACTCGAAAAAAGAAAGAAAGCAACAAATAATTGTTTTTTCTGTTTGCATATTTGATTGTTAAACATGTTTTCAAATTTAAAAAATACATTTGATGATATATATATTTAAATAATCCAAATATAGTTCTTCTTATCATTGCAACAACAGTAAGCGAAAATCAATTATCTCAATCATCATTCCAAATAGAAGAGATGAATAAATGAAACAAGCGATTATTCACGCGTCATTCGAATATATTTGATGACGAATTCAAAAAAAAAATTAACATTGATTTAATAAAAGAATTTGTTTAAGTTTGCTTCGTCGAGTATTTCAAGGTGTTAAAATCATTTGTACTCAATGGTTCGGTGCTCATATTGGTATATTTTATGTTGGTAAACAATTTTTAGTGACAATCTGAAGTAAATTATTTTCATTGATTTATTTAATTAGGTATTTCATTTTTTTTTTGTATGGGTAGTATGAATGCCAATGGAAATTCTACTGCTAAAATAACCCATCAATGAAATGAGAACGTACGAATAGATTTAACAACTCGAGTAAGGTAGGAACTATTCGAAATTTCATCGAATCTACTCTTTTTTTTTTATATATAAAACTTAAAATACGCCAACATTAACGGATAGTCCAGACTAAATTAGACTATTTGTATTTTTATCAACAGATAACGTTTGTAATTCTGCACAGAATACTATACATTACTTAAAACGTAATCATACTATAAAATCAAGTACAGAATTTAAAATGTTGCTTTGTTGTTATGTGATTTCAACTTAGGCATCTTCAGTGACTACTGTTTCTTCGTTCTAGTCTACAAAATTAGTCCGCTCTTATTGTGTAGATTAGTGATAGTTGACTCTTTGACGTTCTCTTATGGGAAATCACCAAGGTCTTTATGTGATAGCAGTGGTATGAGCTTTGATTCAATAAACTATTTTCTTATTGGAAAATATTGATTATTTGACCTTTCAGATATTCAGTTTTGTTCGAATTGTATGTGGACGATCGGGATGATGTGATAAATTGATAGAGCTAGTGTTGTTTATCATTTTTGTCGATCCATCAACATTTTCGGATTTATTTCTTTTTACAATTATATATCTAAAACAATTTTTCGATTTTAATCATACATGATTTTGTAGAGAACTTCAATCGCGATTTTTTGATAGAAAAAAATATGACTTGATTAAATGGAGAATAGTGAGGAAATATTCGAAATACAAACAGTCGAATTTATTCTACGTCACTCGTCATGCAGTAAGGAAAAACAAATATTATTTCATTGTTGAGACAATGGATTTTTCAATATGATAGCAAAATGTCATAAGCATGGGTCTATGTCTGGAGATTTTCACCATCAGAACTTCAGTTTTATATGAAAGAAACATCTATTTCGAATAGTATACTCAATATTGAGAAAATAAATTTCGACCTTCGAACAACCACAAATCAGATTATTCGAAAATTACAATGAGAGGATGTAAGAATCGAACTTTGACGAAAACTTGTTTTAAGTATTGACTGTTCACTTCGGCACAAGTTTTTCTGTTGATTCTGAATATGAACTCATGTTTATCACGTTTTGTTATTATGTCGAAAAACACTCGATTTTCTGAACAGTGAAATCAAAAGCAAAAATTTTGGATAACTAACGGATGTTCCGGAAAGTTTTTAAACAAGATGTTTGTTAACTTTTGTCCTGCGAGAAAGTATTTCTGACAAGTCAAAAGCTATGAGTTAGGATGCTCTTTGTATATCAGCTTGTAGATCATAAGCTACCTTATAAAATGTACTATTTTTTGTTTTTCGACAAATCACCTCAATTTTCGTTTTTTCCTATATAATCATTTTTGAAAAATTGACTACTGTTTTACGTTAAAAGGAGTTCTTGAAAAATGCTTGAGCAAAAGCTATAGCGTAGTTCAATATTATATTTTTGTTGAGAAGTTTTGGCTCTACAAAATAATTGACTTCGATAATTTTTAGCGCGTGTAAAAAAGGACCTGAACAAAAACCTGCTAGCTCACTATTCTTGAATAAAAATAGACATACTATTACAAAATTTTGATCGCAACCTATAATTTTTCACTCGTCTGAAATGCATTCAAGCAGATCAAAATAAAGAAATATATTTACTGAAAACGTCGGCTTACAAGCTCCATTCAAACTAACTTTTTGAACTTTTCAAAGATTACTTCACTATTATCAAATAGAATCTAAGACAAAATTTTAAAGTTCATATTCAACAAGAGCATTCTAACACATAGCTTTTGACTTGTCGAAAACACATCTCAATCGAACAAACATCTTGTTTAAAAAGCTTTCCTATCATCCGCTATTATATTAGATAAAATTTATTTTAATTGAACTATTCATTCTTTTTTTTAGGTATGATTGATCTTGTTACAATTGTCATCAAAAAATGTCTTGTACTATTGCCATATACAATGCTTTTAAGCAGTTCATTAAACCATGCTAAATTGGTTTATTGTTTTGGTATTGACTAAGTTAGTTTTCAATTTGAGGATTTTATGTTTTTCTCTTATAAAACATAATAAGAAAACCAACAGATCAAACCATATTTTGATTTTTTTTCTTCCAATTTAATAGAGAATAAAAAAAAAAATTATCTTATTGTGATTTTTTGGATTTTTTTAGATAATTAATTCTTATTAAATAATGGCCGATGCTGGTTTTTTTAAAGGTACATCGGCTGAACAAGATAGTCGATTTGCAAATAAACAAAAGAAATTACTCAAACAAATGAAATTTCCAGATAATATCGATGCTAAAGTAAAAAATAGAATCTCATTGTTGGGTTTTTTCTTTAATATATTTATTTGTTTTTTGTATATAGATTGATATGTCAAAAGTTAGTTTAGATGTTATCAAACCATGGATTACACAACGTTTAGAAGAGTTATTAGGTTTAGAAGATGATGTTGTTATTGAATTTGTTTTTAATCAACTTGAGGATAAAGTTTGTTTAGAAATTTTTTCTTGTAAATTTTTATTTAAATATTATTTTATTAGAGTCCTGATCCAAAAATGATGCAAATTAATTTAACCGGTTTTCTTGGTGGAAGTAAAGCTCGATTATTTATTGGTGAACTTTGGAGTTTATTAGCTAGTGGACAAGCAGCACCTGATGGTATACCAACAGAATTGGTTGAAATGAAAAAAAAATATTTACAAAAACAAAAGGTAAACTTTGTTTGTTTTTTTTATTCCGAGAAGAGTAATCATCGGTCATTGGTAGTCTCACTTATAGGATTTTTGAATAAATTAGCGATAATATAGGGGTGTTGATTTAAGGTGATTGAGTGCAAATGTAGGATGATTCAAACAAGAACAATAACGATTATTTATTATAAATTGATCAGTTACACATGAACAAATTATTATTGTTATTCATTTGCCTATTGCCCTTTTATAGATGAAGAAAAAAGTCTGCATTACTGGTGACGCCACAGGAAGAGGAATGAGCCTTTCCAAGGAAATAACTGCAGTCTAGAAATAACTCATAAGAGAACTTTCTCCGATATCCTCCTTCGACTTCAATGACTTTATGCATATAGATACTACATAGTATTCTAATAGAAATTCTAAAAGACTTTGGATTCCTAGTGAAATTTAACTTATGAAGGAACCCATCCGACTGATAATCTTCATTTGAGCTCATAGTGTAGATAAAAACCCTGACAGGGTTCGTATCATTAGACCTTTCTTCTCGAGTTATAATCATTTAAATAAACTTTCAGTTTATTGCAGAGCATCACGAGAAAAATCCTAATAAGGAGTTTCGACCTGAAGGTCTCCGCCAAAGATCGACATTTTTTTTAATGGAAGTTGTTCTACTTGAATTCTTTTTGATCAAAATACGATAGCTTAGTTAAATTTCAATAGGAACTAAAATCTTTTTAAGATTTTTATTAGAACACTATATAGTATATCAATAGGCAAAAAAAAAAGAATTATTGAAATCGGAAGGATATACCCGAGGAGGTTCTATTGCCAGTCCCTCCTGGCCAAAAAACTGTAGCGTCGCTGTTAGTCTACAATATTGTTAAATCAATAGTTTTTATGTCAATTTCTTTTTTTAGGAAGAAGATGATCGTTTACGTGATATACGTAAACGTGAAGAAGATTCACATCGTCAAGACACAAAAGGTGATAGTGATAAACTCAATGGTCGTAATCAAATACCATCATTAAGTAGTAGTAGATCACGTCATGAAAATGGAAATAATCCTGGATATAAATCACGATCAAATTATGATGATGATCGTCGTGATCGAAGACGTCCAGATGATCGATATGATCGACGACGTTCACCACCTTCTCGAAGTCGTCGATCACCATCACCACCATCAAAAAAACGTCGATCACCTTCACCACCATCCAAAAGTCGTCGATCACCATCTCCACCTTCTAAGAAACGTCGGTCACCCTCACCACCACCCAAAATTCGTCGATCGCCGTCACCATCACCTAAAAAACGTCGATCACCTTCGCCACCACCGAAAAATCGTCGATCACCTTCGCCACCACCGAAAAATCGTCGATCACCTTCGCCACCACCGAAAAATCGTCGATCGCCGTCACCACCATCATTTAAAAAACGTCGATCACCTTCAACGCCACCCAAAGGTCGACGTTCACCATCTCCACCATCTAGAAAACGTCGTTCACCCTCACCACCACCGAAAGGCCGTCGAACACCATCTCCACCATCAAAAAAACGTCGATCACCTTCGCCACCACCCAAAAATCGCCGATCGCCATCTCCACCATCCAAAAAACGTCGATCACCTTCACCACCGCCGAAAAATCGTCGATCACCATCTCCACCATCTAAAAAACGTCCATCACCTTCACCATTTAAAGGTCGTCAATCACCATTATTATCATTAAAAAGTCGTCGATCACATCATTCACGAAGTCCAGATCCAAGATCACGGTTAGTCAAATAATTAATTATTTCATTTTTTCTAAAATTTTCTAATTTAGACGTAAGGATATCAAACCATTACCAGTCTCATCATCTGTTTCAAGAAAAGATGTTTACAAAAAATCTACTCGATCTACTTCAAAAAGTAGTGAAAGTGAAGATGATCGTCAACATCATTCTCGTTATGATAAATCTAAAAAAATTTCAACATTAAATCAACGTGATAATCGTCGTCCATTATCACAATCTCCAAAACATAGTCGAAGTCCAATGAAACCACGAAAAAATGAACCAATAAAAAATCGTTCACCATCACGATCATCATCATCATCGTCATCATCATCTATGGAAGCATCACCAAAACAAATAAAAAATCCTTTAAATCCAAAATCTAAACCTCGTTCACCATCAACAAGTTCAAATGCAAGTCAATCACCATCACCATCACGTTCAACATCTCAACGTAATCATAAAATTGCTCGAAAAAAATCGAATGATTCATCTGATGATTATAAAGAAAAAAAACGATATAAAAATAATGATTCATCAAGTGATGATCAACAAAAAGATCAATCATCTAAACGTGTAGTTGACAAAGAACAATTAATATCAAAATCTAAACAAAAATCACCTACACCATTATCATCACGATCACCATCACCACCACCCCCATTACCACCACCATCGCAAACAACAAAGAAAACAGCTTCAACTTCATCAAATATTGATAAAGCTAAATCAACTGTATCACCACCAATGAAAGAAATACAAAAAAATAAAAGATTAACTCGTTCACCATCTGATAAATCATCATCAGGATCAGGTTCAAATTCTTCTTCATCAAGTTCAGGATCATCAGGTTCATCATCAGAATCCGAATCGGATAATGATAAAAAACCAAATAAAAGTATGTTTAATTACAGTAAAAGCGATTAGAAGATTTTCACTTACAAACAAAATATATCTAGCTTAGTAGAGGAAGCTATTTCTACCATGACTACAGCTGAATACGACAATAGTGGCGCCCTCTATTGAAATCTCATGAGAGAATCTCTTCAGATATCAAATCGATTTTCAATCGAGATGATATTCATTTCATGAGTAATCGAAAAGTTTAGAATGGTTTGGTTTGTCGGGTCTGCGTTCTTGAAATATGGAAATTCTACTGAGATTTTTAACAAGAAAACTATGGCCTGCCTCAGATCACTTTCGAGTTTCGAATTTAAATTTTGCACGAACGAAGCTTTCACTGAGATTAATTGATTGAGCAAGTGTGAGCTTTTCTAGTATCTCCTTTCTGAAGATGTAAATATATGAACAAAACTTACTTTTACACATGAGACAATTTCGTATATTCTATATCTCAGAATAGAAGATAATAAAAAAAAAGTTATAACTTGCTCGATGCACTAATCTCATTAGAAATTTTGTTTGTGCAAAGTTTGAAGTCAAAACTCGAAAGTGATGTGAAGGGAACGGCGACTTTTTGTTGAAAAATCCAGTAAAATTTCAATATCTCAAGAATGAAGACCAAACAACCAAATCACTAATAAACTTCACCTCGATTGAAAAGCGATTTGACACCTAAAGAAGTTCTCACATTAGCAGAATGTATGAAATAGAAGAAATCTTCCTTTACTAATTCACATAGATTTTGTTCTGAGATCAAAAGTTACCATGATACTTATATTTATCTTTTCGTAATATAAAAAAAACGACACACACATTGTTTTCTTTTATTTATAGAATCACCATCTGCTAATAGCGATTCATCAAGTCGTTCACGATCACCAACACCTGTACGTTCGAAAAAAGAAGATAAAAAATCAACTAAACCTAGATAAGTCTGGATTTCAACTGCGCAAATATTCATCAAGACAATTATTGTAAATGCTAATTGATCTCCATTATATTTTTCTTTTCAACATATTAATATCTGTAGCAACACAAAACAAAAAAAAATAAATTGTATTCTCAATTATTGTAATTGAGAAAAAGAAACACTTTATGAACAAGTGAAGATTCGCTTGTATATATTTTTTTTTTGTCTTTTTTGGTTCATCTCTGTCATCTTCATCTTGTCTCTTTTGTTCCCTCTTTGTTCTTTACTATTTTTTTGTTGTTGTCTTTTGATGAACATAAAATAAAACAGAAAGCATTAAAGAAAAAATTTATTATAATGAATTCATCATAATACTAAACCAAAAAAGAATACATGAATTAACAGAAAATTTAAGATGTTTGCTTTTTTTTTGATTTATTTGTTTAGTGAATAGACATGTAAGCCAATGCATTGATTAGCAGCGGCGACGACAGCTGAAATTTTTTGGTGTAACTTTTAAAAATTTTCTTTGAGAAATTTTGAAATGAAAAAGGTAGAAAAACCATGGTAAAGAGCTTATTGATTAGAAACCAGACGGTAACATCTTCAAAAAGTCATTTGGGATATCGAAAATTTGTAAAAATCAAATATCTATTTTTGTGTCGTGATGGCGTCGGCTAGAGTCTTCATCAACTATCTTGGACAATGCAGGCAGCTCATGCGATTGGCTTATATCTATATTAGTAAATAATCATCAAGTGAAACCTCATGAAAGTAAACAAAAACCAAATCACAATAAGTTAATACAATTTTATCGAAATTTTGATCGACGAAAAATTAACCTGTTGGATCATTCATAGAAACTATCTATGTGGAGTAATAATCCATTGGATCAAAACGATTTTCGAATATTGTATAAAGCCTTCGATTTTTGATTTTATGATTGAAAGAAAAGTTAACATTTTCAGGATTGAACAAAAAATTCACAAAACTTTACCGATTTAATTTTCTTTTAACGAAAGTATCAACTATTTCAAACATGGCAATAGCAATGAAGTGTACTGCTTGAATGGTCACTTCTTCGAAAAAACAAAAAAAACCGTTGAATCTCGTTTGTTTTACAGTAATTGAAAATTATAATATAAACGACTGATTTTTTCTATAAAAATTTCTACTATTGACTCTTTTTTTTAATTTATATTCCGCCTGCATGCATATTAAGCAGGACCAGAAAGACACATTTAAAATTTTCCATAGTTTTTCTTACAACATGACGGATCAGGGAACTTTCATTTTCGAGAATTTACTTTTCACGTATTTTGATTGAACCGCTAGTATGTTGTAGATGTAACAATTCTGACGAGATTTTCCAGCGAAAGTTTAACTGAATTTTGAGGTCGGTCTATGACAAATAATAGAAATAGTAAAGAAGGGTTCATCTCCAGCTAAAATAGCTGGTGCGTTCGCTTTATGGGTAATGCACATAAAGCGATTGGAGAGTATATTTTTATTTTTGTAATAAAACATTGAAATTACTGCCGATTAAGTTGAACCGCTAGATTTTGATAGAATTGAAGACAACAAATCCAATGATATCGATTTTAAAAAATTTCATTGAAATTTGTAGGCAGAAACAAACAAATATTGTACCATTTTCCATTTTAGCTTGTTTTACGCTGGGGCGTTCACTTTAGGGACATTTTCTTGCTGGCCATTCGCATTAGGAGCCATACACATAAACCGGACGTTTTTAATTTTTAATTTTTTATCGCTGATTATTCAATAATTTTTACATTTACAAATTATTTTTTTATATGAGAAGCTGCAGAATTTTCTCTTCTTTCCTGTGACATAAAAATAATCATTTTATGATGAAAAATGATAGAGATATGAAAGTAAAAATAAACACCTCTGCAATGTCAGTTCGCTTTAGGTGCATTGACTCTACATCTTAAATTATCAGCTGAAAATCATTTTCATTTCGATTCTACCTAGAAATTAGTTGACAATAATACTAGTGGTATTACATTGCCTGTATAAATTACAACTAAAATAAATATGACATTATATAGAATTGTTTTTCAAAAACAATAGATATTTATTAATTTTTTTTTAGGATGACTGTTTCTTTGTTTGTGCAAATGTATGTCTGTATTATTTTCGATTCATTTTGGTTCTTATTGATCGTAATGTTTGTAGTGAATACTGTCAACGATATGAAAACATCCAATTAAATATGTTATAATAATAAGTTTTAATGGGCCACGCAACAATGACAAATAGAAGGTTATTTCATGATGCCATTAATTATTTCTATATTTATGTTAGTGACTGATTAGAATAAATGTTTATTTATAATAGAATAACATTAATTGACGATAATATATGTTTATTTGAGCTTTCTTTTAGGGATCAGAAATAAATAAGTTTTATTTATTTATTTATTTATTTAAGTATTTTTTATTACTCATAAGGCAACTACTTGAACTGATACTTGTCGTTTGAACTCATATTGGATTCATAAAGGAGTCTCGGTAAGAATAGAAAAATCCTAAAAAGGTTTGTGCCCACGAGCCTTTCAAAGCGAGTTATAACCGTTTTACTGGACTTTCGACTTGGCATTTCGCCGATAAATAGATCGAATAACTAATAGCATATCCTGAAAGTGTAAGGTAAAAAGAATATTCCTTTGTCGAAGTATTGAATTTTCAAGTAAACTCGAGTTTTGTAGCAAACAACCATTTTTTGGAAATTCAATATCTTGACAAAGGTACATACTTTTCAGCTGAAATTTTTAGGATATTCTATTAATTATTCGGTCTATTGAAAGACGAAATCTCACGTCGAAATATCGTTATATGATTTTTCGGTAAATACCTAAAGCTAGATCAAAAATTCAATAAAATGGTCATAACTCGGTTCCAGAGACCCATGAGCACGAAAACTTTTAGGATTTTTCTAGTCTTACCAAGACCTTCTTGTGAACCCAATATTAGCGTAGCCGGGAGTTATTAAGTTCGAGTAGTTCCCTCGTCAGTAGTAAATTAGTTTTTATTGATTAGATCTAATGAAATAATTTTAAGAAATTAGGATTAAATTCTTTAAAATTTGTTTGCTTTATTTTATTATTTGAATATCAATATGCTCGATTACATTCATGATTTGGTACTTTTTATTTATTTATTATTCTCTAATCAGGATATAATATTTGTGTAGCCGAAATAGCTCCACAAATACTAAGAATACTTGCTACAATAGTTACAATAACTGTTGAACCAGCTAAATGAATAAATGTACCCATTGTTAATGATAAAAATAATTGTGCCAAAAAGACCATACTACTCACAACAGCAACATCTGTACCAATACCACGAATTTGTCCATGTGTATTTAATTGATTGAACTATTTTAAATAAAAAAAAACGATTTAATTTCAGTATTCAAAAAACAAGAGATACTTAAACATACTATATTAGATCTATAATATTTCGAAATAAGTAAATATGGAATAGTAAATAATGTTGAATAAAGAATACCGGCTACAGCTGATAAAATAATAACAGCTATACGATGATGTAAATATCCCATCAATATCATTCCAATGGCATATATTAATTGCGATCCAATATAAACTCGCTTAATACCTATTATAAACAAAACAAAAAAAATTTTTTTCAAAGAACTTCATCGGATTTGGTGTTCTATCTTGAATCAGGGTATCATATATGTGGTCTTGTATAGCAATTTACGGTGCATTGAATGGCATTATAAGAAATCAAGTTTTCTTAAATGTTGATGCACTGAGAGTTTATATACTGGTTATCATTCTTCAGGAATATATATGATACTTATAGATATTGTGAGCCTTAAGATATTCTGAGATAAATTTATGCACATTTTCTTTTTTAAGCCAATTCAATACAATTATAGGTGCTCTTCAATTTTCTATAATCAATAGCTTTCATCGTTGCTTTCTTCATACTTGGAAATGATCTCTTTTCTTAAATCTAGGTTATTTCATGACTATATGACATTCTATTGCGTTTAATTCTGTACCATAGAATAAGTAAATACCAATGTGAAACTTTCTCAAAAATTGGACACTATTGAATTCTAAATGTTTCACAGAGAAGACGTTTCTGAACAGTAAGGACTTGTTGTCACAATGGTCCTAGTAAACATTTTTATGTATCAATAATCAACAGAGTATACCTGATGAAATGGTACAAATAATTTCTGTATAAATGGAAAAAAACTTTCTTGGCCTGTGGCCTCCTGGAGAGGATATGGAAATATGGAAAAATTTATTTTTGAAATCATCATAAGATATTTATAAATTCTTCTAGAGTTTCATGCTTTAAGACAAGCTTGGACGCTTGGTATAAAAATAGAAAAAGAAATAATAAAAATAACAGGCCTCCTTTCTGCAGCTTTATATCCCCGTATCCTCTCCAGGAGGCCCACAGGTCAAAAAAGCTTTTTTTCCGTTTATACAGGAATTATTTGTATCGTTTCATCAGATATACTCTGTTGATTATTGGTACATAAAAATTTTTACTAGGACCATTGTGACAACAAGTTCTTACTGTTCAGAAACGTCTTCTCTGTGAAACATTTAGAACTCAATAGTGTCCAATTTTTGAGAAAGTTTCACATTGGTATTTACTTATTCTGTGGTACAGAATTGAACACAATGGAATGTCATATACTCATGAAATAACCTAGATTTAAGAAAAGAGATCATTTCCAAGTATAAAGAAAGCAACGATGAAAGCTATTGATTATAGAAAATTGAAGAGTACCTATAATTGTATTGAATTGGCTTAAAAAAGAAAATGTGCATAAATTTATCTCAGAACATCTTAAAGCTCACAATATTTATAAGTGCCATATATATTCCTGAAGAATGATAACCAGTACATGAACTCTTTGTGCATCAAAATTAGAGAAAAACTTGATTTCTTATAATACCATTCGATTCTTTGCAAATTGCTCTACAAAAACAAATATATGATATCCTGATTTGAAATAAGTCACCAAATCCAGCAGAGTTCTTTTCATAAAATAAAATAAAAATATACCGAAATAATTATTTAATGTTTGAATATTAAACGAATAAATCGAACATGATATTGAATAGATTGACATTCCCCATGAACCAAATCGAACTCCATCATTATATAATAGTCTTAATGGATGTTCAGGATCTAATTTTGGATTTCCACCTAAAATAAAAAGTTTTTTCAATATAAAATTTTCATTATTATTATTATAAATACCAAAAACAGCCTGTCCAACGAAATCCGTAAAAAATAACGAATAAGAAACAAGTGCCATCCAACAAAAAAAATTTGTTAAACAAAGCCATCTTAATGATACAGGCATATAAATAATTGATCGAAGATAATCGTAATATGAGATTTTTAAATTAACAACTGGTGTTGAATCATATTGTTCTCGTTCTATGATTGACTTTGGTTCATATCGATGAATATTATTATCATTTAAACTTGTTAGTGAAAGAGTTGATACAAGATATTGACGTGATGATGATAGATTAAGATTTGGTACCATTATTGCAATATTAGCTGGTTCTTTTGCTGTTGTTAATGTTAATATCATACAAATTATATAAATAATCCAAACAAGTGTAAAAACAACATGTATATGATCACCAAATATTTTAGCTAAAAATGTATTTTCCCATGGAATACCACTAAAAAGATACCCTAAACAACCACCAAGACCAGCCATTGTTGTAAATGTTGTAAGACCTAAAGAATGTTGATTTGGATTTGTAACATCCAGTAAATAGGCACGACTTGGACTTTGACATGCATCACAATCAAGATCAAGTAAAAGAACACCAAGAACAGTTATTATTGTACCAAATTTACGTGTTAAAAATGGATTTGATATTTGATAGTTTTCAAAATTTGTTTGATTGATTAATTCAGTAGTATTGAAAAATATATTTCTTGAATCACCAAACCAATATCCAATAGTCTGACCTAATTATTAATAAAAGAGTCAATATTTTTTCTTTTTCTTTAAATTAAAACAAAATTTTTTTGTTTTTTTTTACCGTTAGCGACTAATAAAAGACCGATAAGAATTCCAGTTGAATAGAGTAAAATAAATGGACGTCGTCGTCCAATACGTGTATGACATTTATCACTAAGTGAACCAAGTGCCGGTACAAGAAAAAAACCAATTAATGGTGGTAAACACCATGTCCAAGTCATAAATATGACAGGCAAGCCGAGTTGAAGAAGTATAGGTGAAACAAAAGCAGTTTCAGCTGCATAACAAAATTCAATACCACTTACGACAGCACTTAAACGTATAAGATCAAATATACTTTTATAATTTTCTTCCGTATCATCATTAATTTGATTATAAGAATCACGACGTTGTGATAATCGTTTAAAAATTTGGTTCATTGTCTTTTTTTTAACATACGATTCTCAAATGATGGATATATATATATATATACTAAAATGAAACTCTAGCAAAAGAAAAAAAGTTGTCAGACTATTAATCCTTGATGACATTGTCACGCACTAGTTGTCAACTATTGTGATATGATAGTAGCACGCTATGTAAAAGTGTCATTTATTTTTCTTTAATAAGACTCAAACACTTTGACATTTGAAGATGTAGTATTTATATTTTCTGATGTTATTAAATGTCCTTCGTGCAATATTAAATATATTCGAGGAGATGAATATATTCAACATCTTAATTATATTGCCAATAACAGAAAAAAAAATTGAACAGTATTGTTGATTAGAGTCCAATCAAATCAATGTTTTTTGCATATTATTATTATTCTCAGAAGACGAAAATTAATTAATTCTATTGGTTTTCATATTGATTTCTATTTACTGTACCAAGGTCAAAATTGGTTCCATATAGAAATTTAAGACTTTTATTTTTAATAACGGGTGGTGCAAAAGTTCTGCATTAATTTTCTTTTCAGTATAGCGTGGCAACGAATCGTTATAGAGACTTGATCTTTTTCTCATTGGAAAGAGCTAAGTGTCTAATACAAAATTATTTAAAAATATTTGATTCAAAATGTTTACCAAAAACTAAAAAGTCTTAAGAACGCGTTGGACTGGAAAAGTGTCTTTCAACTTCTGGAATTCAGAAGAAGAAATGGGTGACGGACATTTCGCACCAAGTCATTCCGAACTCCGGACACGGGTCCGAACGTTCGGAAATGACTCTTTATCTTAACAAATATTCGACGGGAGTTCGTAATCCTTTCTGTACAGGAGATCGTAATCGAAATGCAGGAAGATCAGAAAGGTGTTACTGGAGATTCAGAATGGAATGATCATTACTATATGTGAAGTACTGTCCAAGAATTAGAACGAAAAAGACGGGATGTTCATGATCCAATTTACTAGGAAATCGTAACTGTTTTATTCCGATATTCGCAATGGTCATAAAGACTTTTCTTTCTTTTTTTTTTTTTTTTGTAAAATCAAGAATGATTTATGCAATATATTCGTAATTATATAAATAACGTCTATCTTCCTTTGTCTCTGCTCGGAACGCTACAATAACTCTACAAGATGTTTGTGACTTTTATACTTTAATCTATTCATAATATTGACACTAGACAGCACTAATCTCTGAGAAAATGAAATAGTATATAATTAAAAGAGTCTCTACATTCAAAATTATTAGATAGACGGCTGAGGATGTTATGATGATGTCTTCTATTTATTGACTCTCACCCATGCTCACACTTCACATGCTCCTCCTCACTCTCACATCTTCATCTGTAGTTTGTGTACTATTTTAGAATAAAAACTAGTAAACTATTTAACATATTTAAAAAACAGCAAACACGAACACATTTTCGAACACCCTGTCTTTTTTCTTATGTCCGCAGATCGTAATGAAAAGTTGGTGCGAAATGTCCCCTCCACGAACAAATTCCATCTGCAGAGAAAGTTGATCTTTTTTTTCCGGCTTTTATCAGGTTTTGTAGCGCTACGATCAAGCATTGCAAACGTGGAAAAATAAGATTTTCAAGTGACCGCTTGAGTTAGAAAGCAACATTTTTCTAACATCTTTTCTTAGTACAAATTTTCCACGACCAATGGATGGCTTCGGAAAGATAAGATTTCTTCCAACATCAAAGTTAGTAAAAACCGCCTATTTTATATGAAATTAAAGCATATTGAGTCTTCTACAAAAGTATATTATATAAAACAGAATCCGGTTTCTCTGTTAGACATTGTGAGAAAACTTTCATTGAACGTTGTAGACGGAAAATCAACTTTTTAACGAAACTGCTTCCTTTGAAGTCTACAGTTTTGTAACTCGAATGTTTTGGTATGATTAGAAAGCCCATGTCGCATTGATCAGACTCACATATACCGTGCTTCCAAACATCGAAAGTTGAGTGCAAAACAAATTAAATAAATGCACTTCTCATCTCTAATTTTTCAGTTAAATTGAAAGACACTTTTCAAATCCAACGTGTTCTTAACGCTTTTTAGTTTTTGATAAATATTTTGAATCAAATATTTTTACACATTTTTCTAGTAGACACCTTGCTCTTTCTAACAAGAAAAAGATTAAGTCTCTATAAAGATTCGTTGCCATGCTATACTGAAAAGAATATTAATGAAAAATTTTTGCACCACCAGTTATTTGCTCGATACCAATTAATAGTAAAATGGGCCATAGGATCGCAAAAAAAATACATAGTTTATAGCAGCCATTTAAAATTTGCATTGACCTTGATCGAAATGAGACTACAAACGCCAGTCATTTTCTAAACGTCCATTCAATTTCATGATTTGAAGCTTTAT